TGGCCCAATATGAAGGCAGAAATTGCCACTTATGTTGGTAAGTGTTTGACCTGCTCCAAGGTCAAGGCGGAGTACCAGAAGCCGTCTGGCCTGCTACAACAACCATCAATTCCAGAATGGAAGTGGGAACAAATAACAATAGACTTTATAACAAAGTTGCCAAGACATCAAGCGGCTTACGATACCATATGGGTAGTGGTTGACCGTTTGACAAGTCCGCTCACTTCTTAGCCATCAAGGAAACTGATAAGATGGAAAAAATCACTAGAACTTATCTCAAGGAGATAGTCAGACTACACGGTGTGCCAATATCTATCATCTCGGACCGAGATAGTAGATTTACTTCCAGATTTTGGCAATCACTGCAAAGATCCCTAGGCACAAAACTCGACATGAGTAAGCATAATCCCCAAACGGATGGCCAGAGCGAAGGACAATACAAACTCTGGAAGATATGCTCCGCGCTTGTGTGATAGACTTTGGTAGCGCATGGGACACTCACTTGCCATTAGTTGAGTCTCTTACAACAACAGCTATCACAGTAGTATAAAGGCCGCGTCCATTCGAGGCCTTGTATGGGCGCAAATGTCGTTCACCATTATGTTGGGCAGAGGTTGGAGATACCCAACTAGCAAGAAAACATATTAGAGATACACTATTCACTGGACCTGAAATCATTCAGGAGACAACAAAAAAGATTGTTCAGATAAAAGAATGGCTAAAAGCCGCACGTAGTCGGCAAAAGAGTTATGCTGACAACAGATGCAAACCATTGGAATTCAAAGTAGGAGACCGAGTCCTACTAAAAGTTGCCCCATGGAAGGGTGTCATTAGATTCGGAAAAAGAGGAAAGCTAACCCACGTTACATCGGACCCTTTGAGATCCAAGCAAGAGTTGGTCTGGTAGCTTATAAGCTCAACCTACCTCAAGAGCTTAACAAGGTTCACGATACCTTCCATGTGTCTAATCTCAAAAAGTGCCTAGCCGATGAAAATTTGATCGTACCACTCGATGAAATTCAGGTCAACACAAAGCTTCACTTCATGGAGGAACCAATGGAGATTATGGATCGGGAAATTAAAAGACTTAAACAAAACCGCATACCTATAGTAAAAGTCCGATGGAAATCTCGTAGAGGGCCAGAGTTTACCTGGGAACGCGAGGACCAAATGAAGCAAAAGTACCCACACTTATTCAATGATGCCCCCTCCACTAGTGAAAGAACTAACTACTAGTGTAAAGTAGCCAAGAATGTAATAATTTCGGGACGAAATTCCCTTAACGGGGAGGTAATGTGACATCCCGGAATTTAGGGCATAGACTTCAAACGACTAAACTACGACAAATCTATTTGTAATTAATTCATTCAGCTTTAACTGCATCTAAGGAAATATAAATGAGTTAATTTCAATTATTATATAATATTTGATGATATTTTTATGCCCAAACGTGTAAACTGGTAACCCAATCAAACCGCTCAACTGCAGCGCTGACTAATGCGTCTGAAAATTGAAATTTAACATTTTTTCATTTTTGAGCAAAATAAACACAAAAATATGATAGTACATGTTCCCCCATTTCCAAAAATATAAAGAACGTCCAAAACGGAGTTTGTATGCAAAAGATATAACCGCTTTAAGAAAAACGGACAGTAAAACACTTTTATTCTTTAATCGCGTAAACAAAAACGTTCCGTTGAGGCACTTACGCTTTGCCGACGGGATTTTTGAGAGCGTTTTTGGACTCAGGATATAGAATATTATTTAATTTCACACTCAAAATAATTCTTACGAAAATATTTATGAAAGTCGCGAAAACGGACACCGCCAACCGTTAAGACGCAAAACTTCAAACGCAATTTCCCGGAGATCCGTAACTCCAAAATTAATCTGTTTGATGTTCTGAAATCCTTGAATTATACTCTATCTAAAAGTCCTTTCGAAAAAATATTCGATGCACGAATCCCGAGGCACCCGGTTTTCACATGTTTTGGACATGAAATAGAGGTATAACTCCATGTGGGGCCCACATGTGATGGACTCCAAAAACCTGATCTCTTCCAGCTGGTATAACCCACGTGCTCTCCTTCCACCTCTCCTTCTTTGTGTACAAGTTTCACCAACATAGTACAAGAGATAGGTGTAGGAGTATGGCCTCTTTATATGTGAGTATGCATTTTTAGTATAAATACATGCATAAGCAGCCTCCAAAATCACACAATTCATCAGCTTCTTCTTCCCTCTCAATTCTCTCTCTCACAGTTACAACATCACCACCATGGATCACCTCCTCCTTTCTGGTCTTCCCTGTTAAAATAAGCAAGAAAGAAGCATCAAAAGGCCACCGGAGTAGCCTCCTGCCACCACTGAATCACCCTCCTGCCAGCAATCACCCACCACCCATTGCAACCTTCAAACACCCACTTCCACCACCCAAGAACTTCATCCCTAAGCTGTCATTGCTATTAATTTCGATCCCCAAAAGCTTCTCCATAATTGTTGCATCGAAATACTGGTAAAAGAAAAAAGAACGAAGCCAAAATCACCGAACTATCACCTCCGTCAACCTCTCGTCGCACTCACGGCCACCACCAGCACCGCCGGTTTCTGCTGCTGCTCCACTTCTGTGAGTCATCGCCACCCTCCAATTTATTTGTCTTTTGTTCTCATTAAGTTAAACAAATCAAGGACCACTGTATATATTCTGGTTGTGCCTCGGTGTATCACGAAAACAAAGAAGACGAACAGGAGGTTTCCCTCCTGTTTATCAATCAGATACACAAACATGCATGCGGTTTTGCCACATGCAGTCCCCCAAGTATGATATTGTCTAGATTCAACCCCTTACTCCCAAAAACTGTTTTTAAACTAGGTCCTAAGTCCTAAACATACATTTGAAATATTCACAATCTACCCAAATTTTGAAAAATCCTTTCAATAGAAGTTGAAAATATTAAAATAGAAATTTCATAAATTCATTTTTTTTTACATATATATACATTTTTATATTTGATTGTTATTAAATCTTAAATTATAAAAATTGTATTTTGATTTAAATAAATTTTTGGGAGTTAAATATTTTAGGAAAATAATAAACTAAATTTTTAGAAATTTTTTTTTTTATTTAAATGAATTTTGAGATAATAAACATTTAGAAAAATTCTAAACCATTATACTAGTTCAAATACCCAATATCTACCAAATATTGATTTATAACAAATATTTCTAGGAAATTGGATTTATCCCGGAAATCACGACCTCTCGGCAACGCATCTCGACATTCAGAACTACTCTTTAACCACTCGATAAGGTGAGAGTTACGGCCCCTCTTTTTGTATTTATTTGTTTTGGGGGAGAATACATGTGCTATATATTATTTATGATGCAAATATATAAATCTTATATGATATGCATGCTACAAATTTAAGTTATAAATACTTCCATCATGCATAAGACTTTACACACTTATACAAGATCGTTATGTTAAAATACATATCTCTATAAAAGCGAGTAATTTATACTTTTATAAATACGTCAACCATACTCGACTTTACAAATACTATACTACGAGTTTCATTGTGCCCGGTACTTATCCATAATTAAGCTAGGGCTGAGAGTTATTCACAAACTTTGCGTTAATGGTTTTTGAGTGAGACGCTACTATTCATTAGCTGAGTTTAATCACTTAGCCTGCCCCACACTGCTATAATCGTTAATCTTCGGAGCGAGTTACATATATATAGATCTATATAGGGTTGACAACCCCACCTGCGGTTGCTAGCTACAACCATCGACTGATCAATCGAAGCAAGTGATATGTGTCTACGATCGATACTACGATGTCCAATGAAGCATCGTAGGGAGGGGTACCTTTCGTCTATAGCTCGATTATAGAACTCACTAAAAACATTAACACGAATCTCTCTCACTTTTTCACTACAACCATATGTTTGGTTTCTTTTAGAACTGTTTTAAAGTACAGTGGTTACTTATACAATTGATATATTTAAACTTTCATGAAGTTATTACAAACACATTTTCTTTAAAAGCATAATTTTATTTATAAAATTACTTTTTAGCTTTTAAAGACTCATGACAAGCATTGTTTCAACTATCATGATACAAGAAAAATATACTCTTGGACTCTTATAAAAGTATTATTACTGCGGCTAGCAGAAAACCTGTGACTCTCACCAACCTCGTGTTGACTTTCAAAATACATGTATTCTCAGGAAATCAGTGAAATTTCGGGCACACTCAGACGATGGAAAACATGGCTCGCAAGTACTTTAATTTTCTACTTTTGAACTGTTATGCCTCACTGTTAAGGCAAACTCATATTATTATTTTATTACTATCTGTAAGAACCATGTATGAAAACATAAACATGTAATGAAATGTTGTTTTGTTTATTGTTGTACTTGTGCTGTATATTCAATTTATCTGTGATCCATGAACTTAGTCGCACAGCCCGGCATGTTCCGCCGCCTCGGCCGGGGGTGTGACAGAAGGTCAAGGTTATGAGGAACAAGGAAGTGCCTCTGGTGCAGGTGCAGTGGCAGCATAGGAAGGGGTCAGAGCTGACTTGGGAGCCGGAACGCGAGATGCGTGAGCAGGATCCATAGTTGGTTGCAGAATGAGACTTCGAGGGCGAAGTCTGATTCTAGTGCGAAAGAATTGTAACATCCGGAATCCAGGTATATTATTCTAGTATTTTATTGTTAGAATTTGTGAAGGAACTCGACGAGTTGATGCTTAGACTCGCCGAGTAGGTTCGTAGTTGATCATCCGGGTTCGCGTTGGACTCGGCAAGTACTTGAGTGGACTCGGCGAGTCCACACTGTTTAATGAAACCCAAATCCTCCAGTATTGGAGCCTATTTAAGGTTACTCTTAGCCTTCCATTGCGGCTACCAGTCCCTTGAGAGCACCCTAAGTGAGATAGATCGTTTGGGAAGAAGGAGAAGCCATATTTGACCTTCCTATCTTTGGTTTAGCAAGAAGAAGGTGATCAAGAGCAAGACGAGACTGAAGGAGGTGTGGTTCTAGTGGTTTCAAAGTTCAGAGACTTCAAATTGAGGTATTTATTCGGACCTTCTTCAGTTTTGGTATTGATATCTAGGGTTAGGGTTTTCTAGAGTTAGGGTTTTCTAACCTCCATATCGAGTTTATGCATTGGATCTAGACTCAAAGAGGTCCAGAGACCTTAACCCTTGGAGCTTTATGAGTTATCTTGGGAGTTATGAGCTTAGGATGCCATTTTTGGGCTAAAATCTCCAAATGATACCATCTAGATGATATATGAGTCTCAAGGTCTGGACTTTACGTGATTATTATGCTTGGGAAGGACAGATCTATGCATTTGAGGAACAGATCTGACCTCAGGAGGTCAATAGACTTTGTGCATGGAATGTACTCGCCGAGTTGTTCTTGAGACACGGTGAGTTGAGTCAGGGTAGCCCCGCGATTCTTACCTAGGGACTTGTCGAGTAAGGGGAGGGACTCGACGTGTTAAATGGGACTAAATGGTTAAGTGGAAACAGGTGGACTCATCGAGTTGCCTAAGTTCACTCGCCGAGTCAGGTCAAAGTTTGACCGTTGAATTTGGTTGACTTTTAGGGTTTGGTCAACAACGGGGTCCTTTTAGCCAAAGGAAGGGTAAAATGGTCTTTCACCCTTCTAAGGGAGCTTAGAGAAAGAAAATTCTAGTTCTGAGAGTTATATTTATGAGAATATTACTTTATGTGTTTAGGCGGAGGCTAGATCGTATTTCTACCGAGTCAGTGATTTACCGGGACATCTGAGGTGAGTCTTCTCACTATACGGTACCTGGAAGGGTACCTATGTGTGACCGGAAGGTCTGATATGCTATAATATATATGCATTGTATGTGATTAGTTACCTGTTTCGTACGTGTTATGTATGCTCTTTTTGATATGGGCGGGAAGGCATTATGATGTAGACCGGAAGGTCAGGGAGTTATGGACCGGAAGGTCGACACGGCTAGGACCGGAAGGTTTACCAAGTTGGGACGGAAGTCCCTTGAGACACATGGACCGGAAGGTCATGGCCTGGAAGGGCGTATTTGTGTAAGTGGTATATTGGGGAACTCACTAAGCATTTATGCTTACAGTTGTTGTGTTATGTGTTTCAGGTACTAGCGAGGACCGTGGCAAGGCACCGGCGTGATTCGTACACACTAAAGAAAAGATTTGATTTTTGGTGATCTTGGGATACGATATGTTTTGATAATTATTGTTGGATATTTTTGGAATATTTTATGTGAAAATGGTTGTGACAAATATAAAATTTTTGTTTTGAAAATTTCGTTGTTACACCAGACCAGAGGGTCCAACTACTCATGAGGCTAGAGGGTCCTCGGTCAGACTGGACCGAAGGGTCCAACTAGCTAGACCGGACCGGAAGGTCGAACGAGCTATGGGAATGGACGGTCCCGCTGAGACACATTGACTGGAGGTTCATATCGAGTTATAGCCTCGAGTGGCTTATGTGCTGCATGTGTATTTTGGAGAACTCACTAAGCATTTATGCTTACTGTGTTATGTGATATGTGTTTCAGGTACTAGCGAGGATCGCGGGAAGGCACCGACATGATTTGTACACACTGATAGAGGAATTTGTATTTGAGATTCTAGGGTATGTTTTATCATGATAACATTTGATACACCTGAGTTTTGAGATGATTTGTATGAGAGATGTTTTGTTTGAAAAATGAAAAGAAAAACATTTAAATTTTCACGTTGTTACAAGTTGGTATAAGAGCCTTGGTTTGAGGGACTCGGATGCACCTTCGGGCGTATCTGAACTCAAACTGAGGATTTGAGAAAATATTTCATAAAAGAAACAATTTTTCTAATAAGAGTAAAAAATTTTGAAAAAGGCAAAAAAGAGCAGTGTGTACAATCAGCCAGCGCCCGAACGGTGATTTCCCAAAATACCCTTACATGATGTGTTATGAGATATTATGTGATGTGTTATGCATGTTAGAGTAAGCTAGGTAAATCATATCTTAGGACTAGGGTGGCCTGATATGTGATGCCTTAGCCTAGGATTTTATGCTGATGTGAGTTGCTTTGAGTGCATGTAGGTAGCAGAGAGTAGCTTGTGAGAAGTCTTCTTGAGAGTAGATACAATTCAGGGGGTATAGAGTACTTGCGAATTGGGATCTTAGGAGGAGGACTTGGTGTGGATATAGATACGGTGTGGAAGGTAGTATTGGGCTCGTACTACTGAAAGCACCTGATCGGTAAACATCCCAAGAAAGAATCCTTAGGGTGCTAATGAACAAGTAGGAACGGTTGATCGAGTGTGAGTAATATCGTTCGGGTCACTGATTATTTTTAAGTCATGTTTCAGAGGCATCATGGTGGGGACGCGCCACAACCTAGGAGGCAGTGGGACCAGTGGTACTAGTGTTGGGTTTTGGCCATAAGAACATCTTATGTGCTCATCCAAACCCTAATGCTTGGATCTAGGTTTCTCTATTGTACATGCATTCATCCAAGAATTTAAACCCTAGATCTAGCATGTGCTAATCAATATTAACATAAGAATAGGTTTTAGATCTTACCTTTATTCTTATGTGGCAATAACAATCTCCATTCCTCCTTGTAGTTGGCTTCTAAAAGCTTAGAGTCACAAGTGTCACTCCTCTAATGGCTCATAAACACCAATAGCAAGAGGATGAAGAAGGAGAAGAGGAGAGGCACCCAAAAATGGTTGGAAACCTTAAGGAATTAGTTAGCCACGTTTTTGATGCCCTATGGGTCCTTAAATATGTGTGGCAATTAGGGTTATCTAACAAGGAAACCCTAATTTGACTGCTTAGGCCCTAAGCAGCCCATGGAGTCCTTCCTTAGAGGCCTTGGACGTTTTCTAATGGGTTTACCCATAGAATTCGTCCACTCCATCCTCTATGGAGTCCATTAGCCCAATATTCAATTATCACACAATTGACAGTTCCAGTCCCCTTTATTTAGTTAATATATTTTAGCCACAAAATTAATTCTAAATTAATTATTGACTAAAATTAATTAAACAATATGATTTCTCCTTTAATATACTATTTTCATAATATATTAATAAATCATAATTAATCCTCTCACTCCATAATTCATCCTATCAGGTTGCTTTGGTGAAGGCAACCCAACAGGACCATGCACCATCGGGTCAAGTACGTACCAAACTAGTTATGGGCTTAGACACTAATCCAACAGTTTGCCACTTGGATAAGTCTAATAACTATTATGCGTACGACTTCAGATCGTGATCTGTAATCGTAGCTTTCAAAAGTCGTTGTCAACTCTGATCTTATCAGATACGCATCCTTTAGCCAAGGGATCATATATTCCTCCATTCTAGATATCGTATAGATGTGAGACATAGATTGAAATCACTCTCTTAGTCTATGTGTTGTTTCCCGATTTCGGATTTATGACGACTGACAACAGACTACAATTGAACACATCAACTCAGTCCCGGCTTGGCCAAGTGCTTAAGATGTCATTACTAAATCATCGAGGGGCCCACATATATCACTTTTATCCCACTTTGGGTAAAAGATAAACTTCGAATCAATGCTAGCTTGCACTTACTCACCGAATCACACACACCAATACATTTTATAACACCAATTTACTGTTGCATTTACTTATTATCAATGTGTAACTGACTCGCAAGATACAAATCACGCATCTTGGTTTCAAGAATATAAGATATTACCGTCTCACCAGTCACTCGTGATAAAATCCATGAAGTGATCCAAGTGAGCGTGGGTTTATTCAAATACTCTAATCTTATAGTAGCATTCATGAACCCTGCAACAATCTACAGTCAGATTCATGACAGTCTTCTTTCATTCGTACTTCCAAAGAATGAGCGACTGTGGAAGGTTTGAATAATCTTATTATTCGGGAAGTCAAATCATGCACAGTGAAACACAAGAATAATACTAATCATATATGGCCCCAAACCTTTGAGTATAAATAAAACACCTTTTATTTAATCACCATATTGATTACTCATTATTTGTTGTTTCAAGTAATCAACTTCTTACTTGAATTATAACAATAATTGTCCCATGCTCATAGCATGCACACTATGTTTTCCTATGGTCTTTACTTTGTGAAATAGATCAAATGAACACATTTCCAATGATTCTCATTTCAAAATTCCTAACCCATTAGTGCAAGAATACAAAATTCTCGCCACTACTAGAATATGTTAGATTCTAACATTTTATGCAACGGTCCTTTCGTAATATCACAACACCAAAGTCACCAAGACTTTGCCAATGAAATTGCAAAGCACTCTATTGGAGATTTTTACAAGACTATTCCATAGTCATGAAGTCTCATATTCAAAGTACATTCCTTTGAACATCCTTCTTGCATAGAAGTTTCTAATCTGGACATAGATTCTTAACGTCCAAATCCCAATAAGGAAACATTTCCATATTTTCCATATGACAACTCATTTTCAATAGAGTCTTATATATTCATAATAATGTCAATATGTTCCATCCATGACTATACTTCCAACTGTCCAC